ACAAGAGCATCTTTTCAGAATTAGAAAGAGCTCTGAAATGTCCCATCAGCCACCCATATTTTCCCTTGCTTGGCAAGACAGCTTTGACCTCCTCAGAAACTGAAAACTACCTCAGGAAACTGTTTTCAAATCACCATTACAGTTTAGTGATCAGCTAGATTTTGGCCAGGTATTTGACTCTGATTCATTTTTAACTGTAGGAGTAAATATTTTGATTTTTATAGAACTTCATGGTAGAATTTAGAACTGCACGTTTGAAAATAACTGCCATTGTGGCATCAACTCCAGCACACTCGAAGACCTCATCAAGACGGATCTGCTCCTGGTGGTACCTCCCTCTCTCCTTCTTTCTCTCTCACTGCTCCCTCCATGTACGTACTCCAGGAAGCAAAGAAGATTCCAAGCACAAAACAGATTGCAATCTTTTTGCATAGTAGGGCGCTGGCATGTTAGAATCACGCGACTATTTTCTTGTTCATATAATCCCAGCCTCACCGAGAGTAAATGTGCCTGTTACTTTCTCTCTGTGAGAGGATGAGAAAGCAAGTTTGAAAAAGGGACCTGAGGAAACAAACTAGCTCCTAATGAAGAGATATAAAGTCCAGCTTTCATTAGGTCTGCAAGAGACTGATGCAAATTTTCTTTCTTTGTTACTTTTTTAATGTATTTAGCACAGGGTTTACAGTGTCTCACTACACTGATCAGATGCATAGTGATCCTCCTGTTATCAGCCTCCCAAGCGCTGGGATTACAGGCACGGGCCACCACGCCCAGTCTCAATCACCATCTAAGCGTGCCCCAGGGATGAGGCCAGAAAGGCATGCCAAGGATCGAACCCTGGCCCCTGTGTCTGCCTAAGCAGGTGCTTTCATCTGCTGAGCTATCTGGCCAGCCCTCAAGTTTTCTGAAAATAAAGTACTTTTCATTCTCAGTAAAGGAACTATGACACATACAAATGAACTTTCTATATTTAATTGAATTATATTTCTAAAACATCATAAAATATTTTGCTTCTGATATACTATGGTATACAGTTCAACTAGTACAAATTACAATAGAATTTTTATTTCAGGAATTACGAAATAGGTAAAATAAAGTACTTTCTTTAATTCTCTGATTCCTGTTTCCTACATAATCTCCACTTACTAATTTCCTTGTAACACTGAATTGAGGTCAGCATGTTAACAAATGTGAGTGCAAATTTAGATTGACTTCTCAGTTTCCTGAGCCCCTGGAGCCTAAATTCAGCACACACATATCTCACCTTTTCTCAACATTTTACTGCAACTCAGAAAATGTTTAATGGATTAAGTCACAGTTGGGCAATTCTGGACATTTATTTAGATCCCAATTTTAACAGATTTTGAGTCCTATATTGGAAAAAATGAGCAACAAGAACCTGTGAAAGGCTGTCATGGTGGAATAGCTAAGCAATTTTTATGGATAAAATAAATTTTAACTAAGCTTCCAATGTGTTAATGAGTAACAAATTCTCTGTTCTTTCAGCATCTAGGATCTTGTCTATTTCAAGACAAGTTTTGGGGGTGAAATTAGGAAAACAAATAGGTAGTAGATGTATTTCAAAGATGAAGTTTGTCTTTTCTAGTTTCTGTTTCTAATTTGATCTTAATCTAAAAGAAACATCAAAAACACCAAATAATTGTCAGGCTCTGAAAGCTGGTCACTAGTTTGGGGTCAAAAACCAACAAAAACATGAACATCATTGAACAAATATAAAATCTAGTCCATTTCGACATTTAATCCTAGCATACTGTCACAGAGTGATGATGTCACTAGAATTCTACCTGTCATAGTTTTTGGCTTGTCTGTTACACAATGCCAGTTCAGCCAGGGGATTTTCACAGTTAACTTGCACGAAGTTTTCTAATTCTCTTCTATAACATGGTCAGGAGATCTTCTATAAAATAGAAAGCTATTAAGTAGAAATATAAATACATCTTTTATTTCATGGTAGTTTAAATCTAGTTCAGTTAAACAGGCTGACTTATAATATGTTAGTGTACAACATTAGATAAACTTGATAAATTTTGAAACAACACATTTTGTTTCTTCAATTAAAAAGTATTTTCTAAAACATTCACCATACTTATTTTATTGAAAAGTAAGCTGTTCTCATTCGACATGCCACCATTCTCTGCAATGACACAGTATAGTGTATAAATATATTGTTTGAAACATCCCACATCTTTGCTGATCTTGCATGTTTCTACATTCCATCCTCTTGCTTCTTTCAAGGTGGGTTTCCAGGCTTGATTTTTTTTTTTAATCGATGTTTTGAAACGGAGAAAGTCACAACTCATGCACACAACTTCTTTTCCTGCTCAGATAAACCGCTGGTGTGGACATGCTAAGTATATCAAGGTGAATTTAATGAGCAAAATACTTAAACTCAGGAACAGACGTGGACTTCTAGAATGACGGTCGATGTCCACTTTCTAACTGTAGGAAGGACACCTGAGCAACAGCTGTGAACGCTAACCTCAGCTCTCTCCAGAAGTTGAGTCATTATGAATTTGTATTTCTTAACCAGTTTTCCCCAACTAACAAATGGCTGACTGCAAAACAAAAGCCAAGTGCTATTTTCATAATCTGTCCTTCACCTCCTTTCCAAGATAGCCCTAAAATAGCTGTTTATCTACTCCGACCTGGGCAGGAATTTATTATACAGTTACATTTAAAGCTCTTATGGATTTCCTTTCATCTGATGAAAAATGACATTCTTCTGACAACAATCTCCATTATCATTTGGAAATATGTCTCCTAATTTATTAATACAAATAAAGCACTTTGTTGTGCAATAGCATGACACTACAGCTTTGAAGATAAATTTGCATTTCTATAATTAAATAAGCAGAAATCATTTACTTTATTGGCTTAATAATAGACTGAGATGGCAGGAATTGCTTCAACTGTATGGCACATGCCTCACCACAGAGCACACATTGCTGTAGACCTCATTCACTCACTGAACAAATATTTAGCGGAGAATTCCTATGTCTCAGTTGCTATACTAGGTGCTGGGACCCAGAAACTGGAAACAACCTGATCTTACATCCGTCAAGCCCACACTGCAGGTTCGTCTATCTGATTACAACTGAGGGTCAGAGGACCACTCGGGAGGAAAATTGTTTTTAGCATAAGGTCACTTCAGTGTACTTTCTTCCTGAGGCAAAATAAAAGTAGATAGTTTTTTCTTATGTCCCAAGAAATGACCAATGACATAGCCAAATTCTATGACAGAGAAAGATTTTATAATGGTGTTTTTTTTTTTTTTTTTTTTTTCGGAACTGGAGATTGAACTCAGGCCCTTGCACTGGTCAGGCAAGCACTTATTCTACTGAGCTATCTCCCTGGCCCCTATAATGGTGTTTTAATATAGTTTTCTTTTTCTGAAACCTAGGGACTTAGGAAACCATTCTTACCTATAAGAACACTCAGCCCGTTTTATCTTCTAACTCAACTTGACAGAGTGATTTAAATTGATTATTTCTGATTGACCTACATTGGTGTACATATTAATCTGATATATATATATATATTCTTCACATTAAAAATAATTCTTTACCAAGTGCTTACTAAATCAAAGAAAAATTCCATAAGAAGTATAAATAAATCTTAAGCTGTGAAAAAAAATCTTAAAAAGCAATTTAAATACAGTATAAATTAAAATATTCACAAAAATGTTAACATGTTTATAAAGGGAATATACCAAGGAATATGACAAGTGTTTCATTGTGTCTTGTCTTATAGGATTGCTATATTTTTTTTTCAAAGTGCAAGTCCCAAAATTTAGGATAGTGATTTCCTTGTACCACTGATATGTTAAGCCAAGCTACTGGGGTTTGTGCTCATGTGGACTGTAAGAAACAAATGAGTAATAAATATTTAGATAGAGTCACTTGGAGGAGCGAGGAGAGAAAGAGCTGTGAGATCTCAGTCTATTAATTTTCTTATCCTATAAATAGATTTCCAAACTATGGAAAGACCTTATTGAACTTTCTCAATATTTATTTGTTTTAGAGTCAGTGTTGGTATTAAAGACCCAAAAGCCTGGAGGATTTTCCTGGCGGGAAAAAAAATGAGAGAAAGTACTAATAATGAGTACTAATAACTAGTGTTCATATCAGTCCCTAAATAGCATTCTGACAAATCGCTTCCCTGGCTCCTGTAGATCAATTTTGTGAGTCTTCTCCAGAGTTATAGAAATGTGAAATGTATTCGGAAGGAAGAACAGTTAGTTTGGGGCTTCCACGAACTCTACCCCATTGACCACAAACAGAATTGGCTCTTCAGCAGATAAGGCTCTTATTCAAAAAAACCAACCCAACCAACACGCTAATTTTGTAAGGAGCTAATTTGATATACTGAGCAGTATGTAAATACCAACAATGGTAAGGAATGTTGTAGATACACTTTTTAACTTAAACTTTTTTTTAAAAGACATAAGTGTGAAGAAGTGACAGAGGAAAAGTGAGAATGAAAGAGAACACTCAAGACCACCATCCTTGAACTAAAACAAAGCTCTATCCCCTTGTTCTCAGTGATAAATGCCGTTAAATGTCCCAAGCACTCCGTATATTGGAATACGAACTATTCTTATCTTCCCAATAGGTCAAGATCATTTATAATGTTTTGAATAATCACATATCCAGCTGCAAATGGCAGAGACCCAGAAACACTAGACTGTTATTAATATATTTTTCTTTGTTTACGTTTTAGTACTTTTGGCACATAAGGGATTATCTACGGTTCTCAGACCATTTTGCATTCTATCAAAAATTCCATTTCAGCGCATAAACAGCGGCATGCCAGAGATGCCGAAGTTCACAAAGTTTGGAAATACTCGCTGTCAAAAGCTGTGAACATGCAAGCCGGCTAAGTGTTCTCTTTCATGCTCCCGTCTGGATTATTTCATTAGAAAGTGAGATGGGCTGCCCTTTCTGTCCATCATTAGAGCAGCTGGAGACAGCATTCGCTACCTGGCAAAACTTTCGAAGGAGGATCTTTCTTAGCAGCAGATAAACCCAGGGATCCAAGATCTGGTTCAGCGAAGCCAGACGCACAGCTATTAAGAAGAAATGGCATTCTTTCTGCTTTTCCGTCTGCGTCTTGCAGTGCTCAACCGAAGTCTGGTTGAAGATCATTCTCAACATCATTATCTAAGAAAGAAGAATAAATAATTTTCCAAAGATCAGTAAAGTCATATGCAGCTCCCCTACACAGTACTCTGCACATATTGGTTTTTTGGTAAGTTGGTTGTTGGAGTGAGATGATTAATTCAAATTAACCCTTATAATCACAGAAAACAGTCCTGAATTAAAGACGATGTTCCTGAGAAGACATTCCCCCACATTTTTTTTTCATTGTTTGACATGATGTACCTTTTTAAAAATTACACATGTTCCCAGTTCTTGGCCTTTAGAATTTAAGAAACTCGAAAATAGAACATCTTGAAATTAACCAAATCCATCTTCTTTGTTATTAAAACCACCAGTAGATTGAGACCCAAACAGTTGTTGACATTTCCACAACATTCAGGGCACTGCTGAACTTAAACTGTAGTCTCAGTAAACAAAATCACCAAAGAAAGAGTAGCAGTAAGCTAAGAGAAAACAACGACAGCGTCATTGTTGTTTGTGTTTTCTGCATCTTTAATTTTCCAAGCACTGTGTCAAGTTTTTCATATATTAAAAAACAATGTCAGATAGATGTTCTACGTTCTTTTCACAACTGCAGAAATGAGTTAATGATATGAAATGGCTAAGCTTAATTTAAATCTAAGTTCACTAACATCACAAGACATGTGCAACTTTACTGTTGTTTGTTTTGTTCTCCTTGGACTATAATGCGAACTCCACGGTGGCAAAAGTTTGGGACTACTTTTCCTTCAGTGATATATTTTTAGTGGCCAGACCACTATTTATTAGGAGTTATTTAGGAGTTAGTAGGTGCTCGCCAAGTACTTGTAAATGAACAGATATTTGTATTTGAAGGAAAATATTTTGTATTATGAATAGAACACATGCAAATATATTTATATTTGAGTTAACAAATGTTTATAAGTGAATGTGATTTTTTTCCACAAGAGAAAAATAAAATGAAGGTCTACATGGACATAAAAAGATGTTAGAACTCATTGCTCATCAGAAGAAATGCAAGTTATGACGATGCAAAATAAGGCACTTCGCACTCACTAGATTGACCCCAGTGAAGAAACGCAACTATATCAGGCGTCAGTGGGGAGGTGGAGGCAGAAGGCCTCTTGCTTAGTAACACGGGTGTGGACAGTGAAGCAACCGACTTCACGTCTAGCTGGGCACTTTCCTCAGCTTCCTCCCAGCCATACCTCCTGGGATTGTGCTGTAGCGTCTCCGAGCACCAGGAGTTTGATTATGACTGTGCCCAGCAGCACTATTCATAACAGTAAATGTAAAAACAGGAACACCCCAGACATGAGGGCCTAGTCACAAGCAAAGGAAGGAAGCACTTTCTCCTAGCCATCTCCTTAATTCACCTTGCTGGACATATGCAGCTGTTGAGCACTTGTCGTGTGGAAGTCACACTATGTGTGATCTTATTTCTCACAGTATGTTCTATAAATGATATCATTAAAATTAATGTCAATTCTTTCTTTTTGCTTTTGCTAAAGTGCAGCTGTGGAGAACCAGAGTAAATACTGCAATAGGTGGCTGAAATAGATGCTGCATTAGATGCCCACAGTACATTTTTAGGGAACCCAACCTCTCCCTTAAGACTCACACCTTCGTGGCTGACCTCACATATTCCAAATTGAATTCAACATTCTTGAGCACTCAACATACCCCCAACCACACACAACCAAAATGCACACATCTATTCAACAGATCAAAGTCCCTGTTGTGTTGTTCCTTTGCCTCCTCCTCTGCACTGCCTTTTGGTCCGGTTGCATTCTCCCTGCATTCAAGCCTCCTTTTATGTTTGAATTACAGCAGGAACAGGCCCCAGCTGGTGCACACCATGGAGTGAGTGCTGGTGCTTTCTCACAGGGCTTCATAGGCACTAACTGGGTTTAGATGAGTCAGGAGGGTAGGGCCATCGAGGTAGGATTAGGGTTCTTCCAGAAGAGGGGAAAATGCCAGAGTGTTCCATCCCTCTGTCCTTGTGTGAGTGAGGTGGGCTTTCATCAGCAATCACATTACCAGCTGCTGCTGCTTCTTCTGTTTCGTTGTTGTTGTCGTCGTCGTCTTCTTCTTCTTCTTCTTCTTCTTCTTCTTCTTCTTCTTCTTCTTCTTCTTCTTCTTCTTCTTCTTCTTCTTCTCCTTCTCCTTCTCCTTCTCCTCCTCCTTCTCCTCCTGTTCCTCCTCTTCCTCCTCCTCCTCCTCTTCTTTTCATTTTAAATGTATTTAGTACAGGGTCTACAGGGTCTCACTACATGGATCAGATTCACAGTGATCCTCCTGTTTTCAGCCTCCCAAGCACTGAGATTACAGTCACGCACCACCATGCCCAGTCTCAATCACTGTCTCAGTGTGTCCCAAGGTGGAGCTGGCATGGCATGCCTGAGGATCAAACCCTGGTCCCTGTGTCTGCCTAAGCAGGTGCTTTAATCTGCTGAGCTATCTGGTCAGCCCTAGCCAGCTTCTTGACCATGGACTTCCTAGATTTCATGCCAGTGAGAAATACATGTTGTTTGAACTTCCCAGTCTGTGATATTCCTCTTTTGCAGAAATTTAAGTAGAGTAAAACAAGGTCTATAGATTTTATCTCATCACAGATTCACCTTTCTAAATCCAAAATTTGATCAAATCCTCCCCACCAGAAGAACATCATTATGTTTCCATGGTCTACCAAATAAACATTTAACTTCAATCCTTAAGGATTTCTATATTCTACTTCAACTCAGTCTTATCTATTGCCAACTAGCCTACATAGAAAAAATTCGAGCTATATGTTACTGATATGGAATATCCTTTTTTTTTTTTTTTTTTTTTTTTTTTTTTTTTTTGGCAGAACCGGGGATTGAACTCAGCCCTTGCTCTTGCCAAGGAAGTGCTTATTCCACTGAGCCATCTCCCGAGCCCTATCCATTTTTTAAAATTTCCTACTTCTTGGTTTTTATTTCTGTTGAAATTCTTTCAATTCTAGTATTCTTTTCTACTCTTGGGAATTCTCTGTCTTTCGACACCATATCAGTCTTTCTGCCATGTGTAGAGTGGTGATATTCACAAGCAGCAACATAATGTCCTTCAAAAGCTAGGAATTAAGGGGCAATAGTGGGCCCCTAGGAGTCAGCATGGACACAATACCACTACCAAGGTTAGTGAGCTGGACTACAAGCAAAGAGCAAAGTCTTTGTGCATCTATCTGCTCTACAAAAAGAGTAGTAAGCCACTGGGTTTGATCAGCTTGTGCTCTTCTTGAGCAAATGGGCCCTATTGGGAGGTTCAAATATAATTAACTAAGTTAGCCTGATGCTAGTAAATCATTGATTCTTTGAATTCCCCATGTCCTGAGTCCTCTTCCATATAGTAGATAACCATTGATCCGGTATTGATAAATCAACAAGAAAAGAGAGCTGTCAATTCTGCTTATAATCTCAGTTTTATCTTGAAAACAAAAGTGCATAACAAAGGTGGAGGAAGACAGCTAATTAGACAGAGGGGGAAAAAAATCACACCAGAATTCTTCTAAGCCTGTACATAGACGCTGGCCTCCAGACGATTCCCTCTCGTCTCACTGAATCACAGATAATTCTTCAATGGGGCACGGAAAGGGGATGAGATCTGCCAGGTGTGGCTTATAAAAGAAATTCATGCTCTAGTGTACGATCCATAGCCCTTGACCAGATTCCCCTAAATATCCAGATGAAATGATTGTCCTATAAACCAATAAACAGAGAGGAATCACAGGCAGTCAGTAGACAGCCAGTAGACAGCATTCTGATTCTAATTTTATTCATAAAACTTACTCCAGGGAATTTTTATTCAATAAAAGCAAGCTAATTTTTTTAGAACTGTCTATCCTAGTTTAAAAAGGTCTATAAACACATACATCTCTAATAACACATGTAAAGCTTAATAATGTATAACTGCTTCATGTAATAGCTTATACAAGAATTAAGATGAATTATATATAATGTTTTATTGTTATTATAACCATGTAAAACATATAGCATTATGGAAAGTAATCAAATCTTATTAAGCAATAATTTATGACTGAATGTTAGACACTAAGATACATATTTTTATTTTTAAAGAGTACAAAATATTGTTAAAACAAAAATTATAAGTGATAACAGAATTTCACAAACAAAATAATTTGAATTTCACAGTATTTGTTGTAATGCATAATGTTATCTTCCAACTAGTTTTTCATATTACCAGATATATGCATGCAAAATTGGAAAAAGAAAGAAATATATAAGAAATTAAGAAGAGAAAAAAGACAAACTAAATTTTAAAAATATATATACACAAGAGTATTTCAATGGTCTGAGAAAATCTTTTACTTAATGAAAGTGGATATTTTCCTTTCATCAATTAATATTTATCAGTTCTTACCAAGTTTATTTAGATTTATGTTTATTATTATCTTTGAATGCTGACTCTGGTCCTATAAAGTTAATACTGTCTACCACTGTAGGAGGTCAGTAAGCACAATAATGTCCCTCACAAATATGACCATTTTTTAGGCCCTGAAAGCCTTTGAATAAGTAGTACATGTGGTAAGAAAAAAGACTTTGTGTATGATTAAAGGTAAACACTATAAGATGGGGAGATTATCATGAGCCATCTGTGCCAGCCCAGGGTAATTACAGGGGTCCCAAAAGTTCTAGAACCTTCCCCAGCTGTGCCTACAGAGGCAGGACTGAGGAGAGTGGTCAGAGTCATGGGAAGTTGCCAGCCTTGAGGATGAAAGAAGCCAGAATTAAGGAGCGGAGATGGCCTCCTTCACAACTGGCAAAAGCAAGAAATTAAATTACCCTTCAAATCTTCATAAAGTTATATAGCTTGAGAATACCTTAGTTTCATTCCAGCAAAATCCAGCAGGGATTTCTAACCTGCACAACTGTGAGAGAAACTTGTCTGCTTTTTAACCCTCTAAGTTCATAGTAATTTGTTATAGCCCAATAGAAAATGAAGACATCCACTCACTGAGCTGCCACAAGTGTTAACGAAGG